TAGACATGATATCATTCCTGTAACCATAGTTAATAGATCTTACGACAAAGGACCCAATATATTTCCAAAACATTTTAAAAAACTCTGTAGAGAAACCATCGGATCCTGGAGATTTATTAGCCTTCATATTATAAAGAGTATTTGAGGCTTCTAACAAGGTTATTTCACCCTCTAAATGGTTTGATTCTTCACAAGAAAGTTTGGGAACATCAGTATGTATCAACTCATTATCTAAATTTAAGTCTGTATTCCCTTCTTTAATTGTATATAAATTTTCATAGAAAGATTTGATTTCTTTCAAAATCTGTGACTGATCATGAATAACCTCACCATTATTTATTTCTAATCTTGATATGATTTTACTTGTAAAATTCCTTGACTCCAGTTTACAAAAATAGTTTGTGGGCTTTTCCCCTTCCTCAATCCATCTTGCTCTACTTCTTATGTAATTACCTTGTAACTTGTGCTTTCTAATTTTTTCTAATTCTTGTTTTTTATTGTATAGTTCTTCTAAGTTACTTTCAGAAATATTTTCTTCCATATTTTTAATGTCATTGATCAAAGAATTTTCCTCATTTTCTCTCTTCTTTTTGACATATGATGAATAAGAGATAGTTTTACCCCTTATTTCTAATAGTAAGGTTTCCAAAAATAATTGATCATTTATTGTGAAGAATATATTTTCATCTGGCACTGTGTGCATGTTGTCATAATTGTAAACTGGAATTGCATATTGTCTTTTAACCTGTAAGATAACATCCTTAATACAGTTCAAGTACTTTTCATCATAAAGTAATGAGTTATTGAATTTCCACAAGCCGCGACCTCTCTTAAAGTCATTAAATACTAACGAGAGAGAAATGATAGAATGATCTGATCTGTAACTTGGCTCTATTGCACATGTATCTAATCCTGATAAAAGTGGCTCTGACAGTAGGAAAAAATCTAACCTACTTTGTTTTAATGGAGACTTTTTCCTCCATGAATATCTACGAAGTGACTCATGAAGTTGTCTAAAAGGATCTACATAGCCATTAATCTCTATTATTTCTAAGAGTTTGCTCCTTGCATTTGGATTATTTACTTTTTTATAGTTATAATAATCTAACTCAGGATTCAAAACCAAATTGAAATCTCCACACCAGATAATATTACTACACTGCAAATCTTCTATATGATTTTGTATACTTTCAAAAAAATCAGGTTTATCAGTATTTGGAGCATAAACATTACATATCAATACCTCATGGTTTTCTATACATGTTTTAAGTATTAGATAATTTCCATCAGCATCACCTTTTTCTGAGATTACTTTGATATCAATATTGTTATTTATTAAAATAGCCACTCCTCTGGAATTAGTGGTGTATGAGCTAAAAAAACATTCGTATCCCCACAGATTTCGAATATCATTTTCCATTTCTGATGAGAAATGAGTATCTTGCAAACAATACATATTACACTTTAAAGACTTAAGGTAGTTAAAAACATCTCTGCGCTTTGCGATATCACCAAGACCTTGACAATTGACTGATATTATTTTAACCATCGGGTATTTGTATAAAAACAGACAAAAATAAACAGACCCAACAGGATTTTAGGAACAGGCAGCAAATGAGATAGAGAAAAAGAGAGACAGAAGAAGAAAAGTAAGGAGAGAATAACACAAACATGAATGAGAAATGAAATAGAATAACTGTGTACAGATAAAATTTACTTTCAAAAGTCAAGTGGCTTGAGTAGCATCATTGGCATGTCTCTTTCCTTTCACTGTCAAAATCGGAATCGTGAAGAGCGTTATAAATGCGGAGTCCATAGCGGTTAGTCACGAGAATTCCGGTTCTTCAATTTATAATCAATGTCGTCTAAAATGTCAAACTTCATACGTTTTCCATCCACACTGGCATACACAGAACCATTGAAATACCAGGCTGATGTAATCTCTGGATGTTCAATAAGTTTGGCGATGAGTTCGCTGTTTTCCCTTGTCACATCATCTCCTAACCTCACATTGCCCTCCGACTCTTTGACTTTTGACCTTTGTCGCATAACTTTCGCTTTTGTGTCTGCATTTTTAAATTTTATTAGGATAGGTCTTGGGGCCTTTTGTTTACCCGGTATGCGATGAATAGCAATAATGTCATTATCGTCGATGTCCACATTTCCCTTTACTTTCAATATTTCTTTTGCAACCTGCAAAGTATTTTCATTTTTATTTTCTTTGACTCCATATATTTTCACATTGTTTTTACGGCTATATTGTTCGTTATAATTTGCCTTAACTGTTGCAAAAGAGGCCAGTTCTTCTACTTGTTGGACTTTGGTTTCTAGCTCGCGAGTTTTTTTGTTGTTCTCGCATAGTTTTTCTCGGAGCGTCTCATTATCAAGTGTTATAGTTTGTCTACGCTGTCACTCAGTTTTTCTATTTTTTGTTTATAAAAGAATTCTTTCTTTTCTGATTCTCTTTTGTGCTCTTCGAGCAATTCTTTTACAATACTGGTGACTAACGATTTAATGTCGTCTGTTTTTATTGTGCTTTTTAGTTGATCTTTAATCTCTTGTAGATCTTTTTTAATTAGAACCCATTCATCACCTGATTGAATTCCTTGGGGTTGACCTGCGTTATCTTGCACTTTTTCCATGTTATCAGTTTTATCCCCTTTGCTTTTCCCTGATTGTCTTGTGGGTGGCATTACACTATAGGTTTTTTGAAATATATAGCGAGAACCGGTTCACAATAACAATGAAGAGTACTCACGATTGTCTGAGCCGTAAATATTTCAATCCACAAAAACTCCCTGTCCAAGACTGTCTCACATTTAATTTTTCACTAATAATATTCAGAACACCTGCAGACTTGCCTCATAAGTATTTCAGAAGAAGATGCAACTAATAAATCATTAAATTGCCAAAATCTGCTCTCACCGAACTACCGTGTCAGCACACCTCGAGCGCCACCTTGCTTTGCTGTTCTTGAGAAAAAGATTTTTTCCTGTATATTCCTATGTTAAACTTTGATCATCTATTGTTGCCCCACCCTACCCCGGGGGTCATCATTTGAACAAAATTGAATCTACACTACCTGGTGATGCTTACATATCAATATGACTAAACAAGGCTCTGCTGTTCTTGAGAAGAAAATTCTTGAAGTTTTTTCCTATATATTTTTTTGTAAAACTTTGATCCCCCATTGTGGCCCCACCCTTCCCCCAGGGGTCATTATTTGAACAAACTTGAATTTACACTATATAAAGAAGGTTTCCTATAAGTTTCAACTTTTTTGGGCGAGTGGTTCTTGAGAAGAACATTTTTAAACTATGCCACCAAATTTCCACGATTTCTGAATTATCTCCCCTTGAATAAGGGCATTGTCCTTCATTTGAAAAAAAAAAAACTTGAATTCCCTTCACCCAAGGATGCTCTGTGGCAAGTTTGGTTGAAATTGGCCCAGTGGTTCTCCAGAAGAAGTCAAAAATATGAGAAGTTTACAGACGGATGGACAGAAAGAACTACAGATAAAATGTGATCAGAAAAGCTCACTTGAGCTGTCAGCACAGGTGAGCTAAAAAAATTATTAAAAATCTTCTCTAGAACAGCAAAGCTTTGATTGGTCATATTTATATAGAAGCATCCTCAGGTAATGTAATAAGTTTTGTTCAAATCATGACCTCTGGAGGTAGGATGGACCATCAAAGTTTTACATAGGAATACATAGGGAAAAACTTTGAAATTGTTTCCTTAAGAACAGCAAAGCCTTGATTGGTCATATTCATATGGAAGCACCCTCAGGTAGTGTAGAATCAAATCTGTTCAAATCATGACCCCCTGGGGTAGAGTAGGATTACAATAAGCGATTAAAGTTTTACAGTAGAATAGTAGATAAACATAACGGAAAAAATCTTGAAAAATCTACATACTGTATATACTCACCTATAAGTCGGTCCGCATGTAAGTCAATTGGATTTTTTAAGCTTATATTAGAGGTATTGACCCTCTAAAATACCAGTCTTTTTATAACTCGCCTATAAGTCGGACCAAGAGATTTGGTCCAAAATTCAACTCACAAAAAACCAACTTATAGGCGAGTGTATACAGTAAGCCATGATTACTGGTAGTCGTATTCATATTATCAAAGCATCCTCTGGTAGTGTTGATTCAAGTTTGTTCAAATCATGACCTCTCCCTTCCCCAGGTCACTTTCATATTTAAACTTCGATAATGACTGATGGCCAAAGTGCTCAGGTGAATGATATGACCCATGGGCCTCTTGTTTTGAAAGTTTATCCTCAAAGTTTGCATAAAAAGATACATTTTTTTTGATAAGAAAAACATGGAGCAAAGACCTACTCTACCTTAAAAATAAACTTTCATATCTTTCTGAGAAATAATCGGTCCATTTAGTCAAGGGTCATATCACAAACGATTCATCAGGAATTGTGTAGCGTATTGGTTAGCCTGCTAGTCTCAAAGGAAAATGATTATCAGAATTTTCATTGCTAGTGTTCAAACCCCACGAATACCACTTTATTTTCCAATAACAGAATAGTTTTTGCCAAGAAAATTTTCAGGAGTAAAGTTTCATTTGTCATTTCATAAATTTCAATAATGAGAATTTTACTCTAAATACTAAATTCACAGATTGAATATAATTTTTATATCTGAGGCTATAGGCATTCTGCACGCCTTGATCACCCATCTCCTTTCTACATTTCGGACAACTACGTTTTATCTTTGAAAATCAAAGCTTGCATTCACTTGTCTGAGAGGCAAGTTGATCTGAAAGTTGTCTGTCCTTGCTGTAGTATTGGAATGCAGGTGTTCATGATTTGAATGGTTAAACTTGTACTTTACAATATAATAGGGGGCTTGAAGTTATCTTCACATGTTTATGATCATTTGATTGGAAGAGAATGGATATCCTTTGAATATATGCATTGAAGCCTTTATATTCAAAAACATGATTAATTAAAATAATAATGAAAAAAAAAACACAAGAAATATAACATATTTACGACAAATTTATTTGACTAGAGGAAACCGAAATCTTCCTGTATCTTTCTCACCACACAAATGAAACGGATACTCGTGACTCAGTCTCCAATTCTGACCAGTATATTGATTAAGTGCAGGTGTTTCCATTGAGTGCATAACTCTTGACAATCAATATCTAGAAATCATGGATGAATATGCCAAAGTTTTTCAATCTTTAAAATCCAAATGGTGATCCAACCAAAGCTTCAGTAGCAGGAGAAGTACCAAAAAGGTCATCAAAGTCGTGGGCTTCATCCACCAAATGTCCGGTCATCATTGGGGGAATCTTCTTGATGTAGCTGCTCTTCTTCACTTTTTCAGGGTACACTGTATTCCTGGCAAAATAAAAAAAAAAATTGCAGTAAATTCCATTCATCTTTTACAAAAGCACTCCTCTAACATTAATAAGAAAGTTTCCTTTCAAATATTTGAAGGACACTGTATGTCCAAATGATTTTCTTTTCTTGAATGTCAAAAATGATGACAGAAGAGATCATTGGATTGAAGGACAATGAATGTACTTGACAGGAATAGAAGATAAATTAAATAAAAAAATTCATGGGGAAAATTCCTTGTTTTACATTGAGCTTACCAAAGAGTTTGCTCACACAAGTAGTACTTGTGGGGTGGAGGCATGCCATTGAAGGTTGAAGCTGCAGACATGGTGTAGGCCCCCATGTCCTTGAAAAACAGCCAGTGTCCCACACGGAGCTCTGGGAGGGAGCATTCCTCCAGAATACAGTCAAGCCCATCGCAGGTTGGTCCCCATACACTGCTGGTATAGCACTGCTCTAGTTCACTTCCCTGTAAACATTACATCACGACAATAAGATTCAAGGTTAAATTTCATTCACAGTTACTTCTTCGTGATTAGCTTTTGTTTTTCAACAAAAGTAATTGAATATATATTTTTGCCAGTGCTGAAATTGAATATATATGCACCAGCACATCTCATAATATAGAATTGTATATATATTTTTTTTTCCTTGGAAAAACGTCTTTCACTGCTGTCATTACCTGAAGAGTGTTGACTTCCACCTTAGCATGATCAAACAGAAGGCAGTTAAATGAGCCATAGACTCCATCATTAACATAGTACATCATGACTGGTCCCTTGGTGTCCACGGGGTCATCATCTACAAATAATGTCAGAGACATAATCACCTTAAACATACTACCGGTAGTTCAAATTATCTTCATAATTTTGTGTTGAAACAAAACAGTGTCAGTCTACATAAGTTTCTGGTTAATATGTAATTCATTTTAATTTTCATTCAGCCATAATATGCAATTTTATTGATAAAATTTCTAGTTTAAGAGTCTAATATCATGAATATGCTAATGCAAATTAGTTTTTTCTTCTGCGTTTGACTTTTTAGACAATTGTCTCCTTCATGGTTCAGACAAAACGCACACAAATTGTATAATCTAATACAAATTTTACCATTGGTCTTTTCTTTGGTCACTACCCTCTTGGCTATGATGTTGACCGTGAGAATGAAGGCTGAAGCTACAAAGTACCTCCCTGGTTCTGCAATGATCTCCACATCCTCTGAAGCTGGAAAGTAGTGGTCCAAGGCCTCATTGACAATGCCGGCAATCTGAAAAATTCTTACAAATCAGTACTGTATACCACCCATGGTTATTTGAGCATTTCCTAAACAAAATCCATTTTTGGCTCCATTCTGATTTAGTGTTTTAGTTGTATCACACTAATTTTAACAAGATTATACATGTAGAATTATTTCAAAACAATTCTAGTAAAAACTGAAGTTATATATACATGTACAGTTGAGCCTCATCAATCTAGATGTGTTCCCAAGCAAATCGTCCGGATAAATGAAGCCTCAGGATTACTGAAACAGGTCTTTTATAATAAGTACATATAAATACTGTACGTGTACATATATTGGCATATTCAAAATTTAGCGCAATCATTGGGTATGGAGTTGTTGGCAAAATCATGAATTAGCTCTATACATGTCCGTGCATATATTGTATTTATAAATTATTTCTTAGCGGTTTTCATGAATTAGCGCATCATTGTCTGCGCCAAAGCTGCTAAAATATGAAGCCTGCTTTTTTAAGTACACGTACTAATTTTGTTCCCCATAAATTTTGTTAGTTGACGTAGAGTCTTGTAGACACATGACTGTGACAGGGTGTGTCCAGAAGGTGAAACATCCAGAATATAGGTGTATGGATTAAAAGGCTCCACTGTACATGTATTTTACACTATACATGCATTTCACACTTTTCTAAAGAGCTCCAGTACAAATTATTACGTAACATTTAGTCATTAAAAAAATCTGTATTTTTAAAACAGGTTTTTAAGAAAGGAATAAGTAAGGGTTTTTTCCCATTTGTTCAACATGAATAAGTAAATAACACTTACTGCACTGAAAGGAACTGGTGCAGACTGTTGTCCTGGAAATCCTCCTCCAATGTCTAGCAAGGTCATATTGAATCCCATGTTCAGACCAATATCAAAGACAGTACGGGCCTGCTGTATGGCTACGGCAAACGCTTCTGCCTCTTCACATCCACTGCCCACATGGAAACTGAAAAAAAAGCACTTCATTATTTTTCTCTGTCAACAATAAATACAATAACAAACTTTGCAGAAATGCAAAGGATATTAGAATTTTTCAAAAAGTAATTTCTTCTTCTTGAATAGATATCTTCTAGCAGACATGTTTCCTTACGAATGATTTTTGAAATTTTCAATATTTATAGATATCTGGGTGAACTATTTCCGCTTATTACATTTTCAACAGTGAAATATTGTAGTTGATCCATTGAATAGTGATATTTTTTAACAGTAAAAAAATTATCAAAAGTGCGGCAAAACTTGAGATTTTCCTTCCCTTCAATAAGTGTAATTAAACCAGAAGTCTCTTCCAAGAGTGTAAGCTCTACTGTTTTGTGCATAAAAAGTAGAACTTGGACATTAAACTATGGCAACAGCAATAAATAAAACAATGATCCTAGATTTAGTCTTTTTTATGCAAGTTAAATTGCAAACAGACTAAAACTGTAAGAGGAGTAGCATTTTGAAAGAAATACCATTCATCAAATCAAAAACTGTTGAATAGAATTATGTATATTAGTGTAGTCTACATGTGTACCACATTTTATTGAAATCAGACCAAAACTGTAGCAGGGGTAGCATTTTGAAAAAATTACAGAAATTTCTATTTTATAGTAACCAACACAACACCATTTATTGAAATATGTTTACAACTTTAATCTCACAAATGACTAGCCATGTCATCTCACAACCATCAACTAATGCATTAAATCCTATGACATTGCATTATGAAAAGACGGGCAAAAGGAAAACCAAAGAAAATGTAATAAACAGACAATTCCATATCCAACTACTGTATATACTCGCCTACAAGTCGGTTTTTTGGGAGTTAAATTTTGGTCCAAAACTCTATGTTCGACTTATAGGCGAGTTATAAAAAGATTGGTTTTTCAGAGTTTCAATCCCTCTAATATAAGCTTAAAAAATACAACCGACTTATAGGCGGACCGACTTATAGGCGAGTATATACGGTACAATGTTATGTAGTTGGATATGGAATTTATTTTGATCATTTTTCATTATTTTTCGCTCATGAGACAGGTTTTTTGATAATTTCTTAAGTGCAAAGCACTCATTAAATTTTTTTTATTTTAAATCCTCTCCCACTCACAAAATAAATTTCACATTCAACTACAAAACAATAAAATATCCTCTTTTCATTTCATAGTTAAAATTTGGTATATTCAAGTAAGGATATGCCATTTATGCTGTTATCTTATGTGTATCCCTGACATCATGAAAAAAGATTTGTTCAAAACTGAAATAAATGAAAACTATATGTTTTATACAGACCTAACTGAAGTACGTAATAAATAAAAATATTACCTGACTCCCATGACATTTAGCCCAAGATTGCGTGCAACCTCCAGAAGGGCACAGGCTTTGTCTGGATGGCATCCATATTTGTTCCCAAGCTCACACTGAACCTTGAAGTTAGATGGAGGTAGAATTCGCAGAACCAGCCTTGGATGCACAAAGAAATAATTTTACTGATTCACATTTATTAAAGTACTACTTCTCAAATTGTAAAACTTTGGTCTAATGGTCTAGTAATAAAACTAGAACTTTCCAAAATGGACAAAATACCCCCACCAGGGTTTTTCAGAGAAGGTGCCAAGTCACCAATACTAGTATTTGATGGATCTAAGAGATATAACATTTAGAGTGAAAAATTTACCAGTAATTGCTCATTATATTTTTTTAATGAACGAAATTAAGGCGCAACCTAATAAAAAATCAGTACTAATAACACTGTTTTTTATTACATTGAAAAAATAAATAACAAATTTTCAAATATTTCTCTATTGGAAAGTATGGATGCATTATTTATCCATTTTTTCTACAGTGGCTATAGGTCAAGATCATGACACACCCTCATGTCATAAGCAATCTTAAGGTGAAGTGGAAACTCCAAACATCCCAACATTACTCTCCATAAGAAAGATACGGATCAGACACAAATTATGAACTTTTTCTGTCAGTGACCTTGGTCATGACACACCCTCAGGTCATGAACAATCTTTTTGTAAAATGGGAACTCACCAAGTTTATCCATAAGAAAGATATGGACCAGACATGAATTAACTTTTTCTTTCCATGACCTTGAACTTGTCCACCTTGGGTCAAGGTCATGAAACACATTCAGGTCATGAACAATCTCTGTGAAAAGTAGTAGATTCTAATGTTCCTCTGTAAGAAAGGTATGGACTGGACACATTTGAACAGACAGACAGATGGACAAGGTGATTCCTATATACTCCTCCAAATTTCATTTGCGGGGGTATAATAATATTACCAAAAATATATATATATATAAAATAAAAAAAACTGAAGAGAAACATTCAGAAAGTTTTAAAAGCTCTATTTCAAGTTCAATTCTCTAGTTCAATTTCAAAACTACCTGGCCTCTGGAAACCAGGTTTTGACTTTATGTAGCTCATCCTCATTGTCAAAAGTCATCATATCCACATGCTTCTTGGCTGCATACTTGATATAGGAGTTCTGCTTGCATGGGTTGGCATAGATGATTCTGGAGGGATCAACTCCCAAATCCAGAACTTTCATAATCTCAGCCTATGAAGTTTAAAGCAAAATTTAATCCATAAAACCAAATTATAAACATGGATTCTGTAATATCTCTTGGCAAATTATAAACTTAAAATCCTCTTTTATACACATAGATATAGTAATTGTGACTTAATAATAACCTTGCTAGCACAGTCAAAATTAGTTCCCATGTCTGCCAACAGCTTAAGGACAGCATAGTCGTCATTGCATTTCACAGCTAAAACCATAAATAACTTAAAATCATAAATTGTTTAAATTATTGCTCATCAAAACACCATCAATTTGTACTTCTAGCAAGAAACAAAACTGGCTTCATGAGTTACAGTGAAATGCGAACTGCTGTATCAACTTCTTTACTATTTTACCATAGAAGGGCATGACTCTGGGCAGCATCTCTTTCCAGACCTGGTACTTTGTGATGATATCCCCAAGGTCACCAATGAAGAAAGCCTCCTCTTTTTGCTATGAATTAAAATTCACCACAGTTAAGGATTCAAACAAATACAAAATTAAATAGAAATATCTTTCTCTGCATAACATCAGTTAATTTTGAAATATCAAGTTAACAAAATTACTGGGTTTTGAACATCGGAATGGTGCAAGAAAAAGATTTTGATAAAATGCATTCATTCTTTGTAATATTTCTTTAAAAAATATATACTTTATCATTTTCACAACTGAAAGTTTTGACAATATGCTTTAATGATTTAACATGCCAAACTTAGATTAAAAGTTGTTCTAAGGTAACTAAGCTGTACTCTATATTTGTACAGATATTGCATACAGAAAGAATATAACATCTGAGACTTACTTCAGTGTCATGGAGTTCAGCTTTCTCCTCTACAAAGCTTCTGATGGATTGTTCATAGGTAGTCATTTGAACAGTACAATTATTACCAATGTATTTCTTCATGATTATCAAAAGTTATACAAACAATCTGCAATGGAAAAGACGCAGTTTACATGTTTAATGTACACTCTTCGAATGCGTAATAAATGTCAATATAAATCCACCAAATTTAAGTGACTGATTAAATCGGTGAAAGATAGCATAAAATGATGCTTTCATAAGTGTTTCTGACCTATTAGCAATTTCACAACTGATGTTATTTTAGTAAAGCTGTTGCTGTGTAAATGCTGGTACAGAGAACATTATGAAAATAAGCAGGAAGATGGGAGGAATTAAACTTAATTAGTAAGTGATGATTGTTGAATTAAAAGTGATTGACATTTTAAAGCTTTGTAACATACATCATGATTTTTCAAAAGAAAGGCAATTACTTGAAATTCATCCTTGTCATAATGAAGTACATATTCGTAGTTCAAACATTCTCATACATTCATGTTTCATACATTTTACCATGTTTACTACTTTGTTAGAAGAGTAAAATATCAAATCAGAATACATGTATCTTCTACAAAAATTTTCCATATTTTAATCAAATATATGTATTTGCTTGATGCCCATTCAATACCTGGCCAGAGGAAACACCTGCACTCAACCGATACTAGCTGGGATCCCACGGTGGTTCTGCGTTGAAGTCGAACTTCTGCTTAAGTCTGCAGAAGCCCTCGGGGCACTCAATATAGAACCTCAAGGAAAAACCACCCTAAAATAATAATACATCAAAATAACTGTTTTGTGACTTGAAAAAAAAGTTACAATAAATTTAATAGCAAACTACATGAATATATTATTAATTAATTATCAAGAGCCATAAAATTATAAGAATATCTATTTGAAAAAATAATATCTTTACCTAAAAGGTAAAGGAATGACTACTTTCTGCATCATATTTTTCTTATACTTGTTTATTATTGACTTTATGGAAAAATAATAAAAATATCTGTTTTAACTGGAATGAATTCTTGTCATGAATTTTAGTACAGCTAACACAAAGCACCCCTCATGTATGGAGCTCTCTATGAACACTCAATAGCTAAAATTTTAGCCAAAAGTACACATTGTTCATAAAAAATTTGATGAATCCAGATAAAAAAGAATGTTAAAAATACAATCTTTAATTACTTGTAGCAACATAGTTGCAGAATGCTATGGCATAGAAAGTCTGAACAATTTACTTGAAAAAATTGACAAAAAATGTTTTCCTTTATCATAACATTAGCAAATGCAGCACTTTCATTCATGATAACCATGCCTTTGCATATGATTCTTTAAGCACACCAATGATAGCATTTCTGTTTTTTCCCTATTTTGTCACAAATCACAATGGTCTAAGAAGTCTGGAATCTTCAAAGTTATGAGGAAGTGTCAAAGTTTAAGAAAATGCAGGTATATTATTTCTGAAGTCAAAAATTTTGTGTAAAAAAATTTATACATTGTTTATATGAAACCAAAAATGCTTACAGAAAAATTGCGAGGTCAATATTGACCAATATGCCAAATGAAATGATGGATACACTGAGAGGTATATAACTGTGCTTGCCCTAAATGCTTCATCGTCTACATATTAAATTAAATTAATAATGACACACAGTATATTATTAATTTACAACACATATTTTATTGATTAAAAATTGAAAAACAAGCCAAAGTGTACAATGAAACATTTCTTAAAAGTGATGGTGTAACATTCTACCTTAGCAGAAAGTGTATATATCACATTACAACTATTCTTCATGGATAAAACATTTACATGCTTTACCCACTACTCAATAAAAAAACATTTCAGGTGTGAAATTCAAAGTCCCAGTTTTCACGTTTGTCAACATTCATAGGTGAGATAATCATTGGTCAAATATATGATAATTTCTTATCGGATACAACATAATGGACTTTACCTGTTTATGATACTGTATTCCATCTAAACATAGGACTGACGACATTTTTAAATTGCTCACCGAAGTTCAAGGTTGTCACCACGTGAAAATCACATGTTTGTTTACGAATTGTTTTACACTTTTAATATTATCAATAGTTAATATCATACAAAAAAATAAATGAATAAAAGGAAAGTTTATGTATCTTTTAATCTTAGTTTCAAAAGTGAGGAAAGAGGTTAACAGTAAACTTCCAAACAAGGCTATTTAGTCACATGTCAGGACTGATATCATTTTTCAACTCACCACAACAGAAACCTCCGGAAAGCTAGTATCCTTCTTTCCTTTGGGCGGAATTTTGTCCGATTTGTATAGACAAATACAACAGTAAAATACCCCCTAGTAACAAAATAACCCCCTGTTTTAAAATTCACTTATTCAATGCCTCATCCATACAAGACGGAAAGTAAGTAAAAGAAAGAACCTACTTCCGATTAAACGTAATTCCGTATAAATACATAGTAGCCTCATTGGTGATTGTTTGCTTTGTGTGACTATGTTACTTCGAAAATTTTGGCACACCACAGTTGCCGGTGGAATATTAAGACATTTACTAGGGACTTATGACCTTTTAGAAGGGATCAGTCTCATCTGAAGGAATCTGTTTGAATTCCGATGGATTTACTTGTGCTGTATTTATGTTCTTGCTTTGGCTTTTTCTTTATCATTTAGCAATAGTTATTTTCATTTATATGCCGACTCGATATATCCTATTGAACTCGAAATAAAATACACCAAGTGTCTGCCACACCTGCTTCATACTTGGATTTCTTACCGTGACTATAGACGTTAATTAATGGCCAACTGACACTCAATTAAACTTTAAGACAAACTGGATGATTTCAGTTTATTCTTTTTTATGTAGTAATAGTCCATAATATTTGCAAACATATGGTGTTTATGTCTCCCATCTGAATAGATACTCTAGAGCATGTTCTAAGTATTTTTTAAACCGATTCAGGCTACTGACAAATAAGTTGACATTGCATTATTTTCAACTATCTCGTTCAACGTCAACATTTCGCAAATTCTATGGTCGTTATAATGGCCTTGTTTGCAAATAAAACCTATCGTTAGATCGTGTTTTAACTGACACGTGGAAGCTTTATACGCTAGGCGATGGGCCACACATTAAAAAGACCTTGACACTTTGTCAGAATAGATTAAAAATATCAGATGGATGTTGAAATCTCGCATTAAGCGTCTGAGGAGCAATATGAAAACCAACTAGCCTTTGTTTTCAATAATTAAAAAGTGAAAAAAGAATTAATTAGATATCACGAGCAATATGTATTGGCCCAAACTGACAAAGCAGGCTACAACATTGTCTTTGTTTATATGGATCGTTATTTTAATTGTATTTTAGAGGAACTTGGATTAACTTCTGCAAGTGGTAATCCAACTTATACTCATAGTTCCCTTTCTTAGGAGGAAATTCTAAAAAATCATATTTCAGTTTTAATTTTTTTTAATATTCCCAGCAACAAAATTGAATTTGAATTATCATACCTATGCTGAATTCCTAAACTACATAAAAATCCTTACAAACAAAGATACATAGCGGGTTCCAGAAAATGTACGTCTACCAAGCCTCTTTCTTTACTCCTCATTAAAGTATTCACAGTACTGAAGGAGAAACTTCGGGAGCACTGTACAAGATGCTTGAGTTACTGATTGACAATATGTTGTACTTTTTGGAGATCAAGTCTTATAAAAATCTGTCGGAATACCCATGGGTACCAATTGCGCCCCGTTATAAGAAGACATATTCTGGTATTCATAAGAAGCAGAATTTATTCTAAAACTTCTACATGAAAGAAGTTTCTTGCTGCGGCTTTTAATTCAACATTTTGATATAAGACGATATTTCATCAATTAACAATATTCATTTTCATTCCTACGTTGATTCGATATACTCAGTATCCCTTTGAACTCGAAATAAAAGATGCCACAGAGTCTGACATATCTGTTTTATATTTGGATATTTCACTAAGACATTAATGGTAACCTAACAAAAAAACTTCATGACAGACGTGTTGATTTCAATTTTTCTATCACAAACTTCCTTCATTTATGTAGCAATATACGAGGGGTGATCAAAAAGTTCGCGAACTAATTGAATTACTTCCTTAAAAGAAATAAAATGAGGTTTCAGTGCTCATTATTTTTTAAAGTAGTCCTCTCCGATTATAATGCACATCTGCCATTGTTCTGCCCATGCGCGAATCACGTGATCCAGGCGGTCACCTGACATGCTGCGTGGCGTTCTGTTCAAAGAAGCTAAAAGATTTTTCCGAGTCATATATTTCTTACCATGCAAGTTATTTTTTATAACAAGAACAGTCCATCTGTCAGAAATGGCTAAATTTCGGCAATAGGATGGGAGGATAACGACATCCCTTCCCAGAATTAGCATGGTGATCATCAAAACCCGAGTCCTCTCTCTCGGGAACGTCGTTTATCCAATGTGGATAAAGTATGGACGACATGAGTCGATCACGTGACGCCTTGCAATCGCTTCCTTAAAGTCTAAAGTAAACGATATTTTAGGGGTTTAATAGTTATATTATTGTTGATATTCAACTATTTTTCTAATTGTAACTTGGCGATCTTTTATAACGAATTGCTCAACTAAGGACACATCTTTTCCCCGGCTTGCTTTCGGTGGGTAACAGAACAAACATCATTTTTAACCATCTCCCTGCCTTCACTAAAACAATCGATCCAATTAATGATTGAACTTCTGGTAAGTCTTTTGTATTCACAAACCTTGTACAAATTATCATATTCTACTGCAAAGGAATTTCCAAGATATACGTTAAACATTACAGCCGCTCGTTGCTCTAGTACGACTGAGTCAACCATTTTTTGTCACAAGTCACCTACATATTGACGTCATTTTCACATTGTGACGTTACAAACACAGAGCAAAACATTATATAACACCTGTTATTATACCTCTACTCTTATTACTCTATATAAAATTAATACCATAAAACTGTCTATTTCCCCGAGAAGATACTATTTCCCCCATCTGAGGACTACTCCCTGAAAAATCAGAGCTACTCCCTGGGACTACTCCCTCATGAATATTTATTTTTAATTTTAACCAATTAAAATGAACAGTGGGCGGAGCGTTCAAGGAGTCTCGAGTCCGTGACGTAATGTTATTAGCAATGTAACTATGACGTCAAAACATTTAGACATATGATGTCAAAATCATACTGGAATTTCTAAGCAAAAATAGGACAACGATAATCCTTCGAAATGTCAGTGAAATTATTTTTCTAAAAAATAATTTCATTTTTTCCGTATTGATGCATTATATATTTAACAAAATTGGAATCACATGCATTTTTGATTATTTATATAAATGTCTCTGTATTGTTTCAAAAATGTCTAAGTCTCTAGTTAATAAATCTCCTTTGCTTGTTTCGGTATAATAAAACAGTTATGGAATGGGTATGAGGGAAATATCAAATTTATGGTTCCCCTCGGCAGGAAACTATTTCCCTCGGCGGCTTCGCCGCCTCGGGAAATAGTTTCCTCCCTCGGGGAACCATAAATTTGCTATTTCCCTCATACCCATTCCATAACTGTATACTATTTATAGAATATGTGTATGACTATATGTGTGCCAAATTTCATTCTGATCTGAATTGTGGTTTTGCAAATATATAGTTCGCGAACTTTTTGATCACCCCTCGTACAAGTACCATTATCACCTGCATCTGAAGTTTATTTTTCCCAGTTGATTCGATACGCAAGAGCATGTTCTACGTACGAACAATTTCAAAAACGAGGCTGGTTATTGACAAATAAGTTGATGAAACAAGAATATCGTTTAAAGTCAACATTTTGCAAATCCAATGGATACCCGGGGGTTCTTCAACGTTGAATTCAGACCCTAGCCTGTTGAAAACTGAGCCGGATCGTTGAATTTTGATCATAAAACAGGGTCAAAATTCAACAGCATAAAAACATATAAAATAAATTGACGTTTACAATTATGATTTATTCATTCAAAAATTACACATTATATAACAAATGTACATGTATATATTTTTATTTCACCATGTCCGTAGGAACCAGTTGAGGGAAAGGGGGAGGGGACACAGGGTGATTGTTTCCTTTAATACATGCAATCATATACTATACAATAGGGAAGAAAGCTAAAGAACGTCACTCTGTTGGTCTTTTTGGCTTGTCAATGAACTTTTGTTCAATTGCCCCCCCCCCTCCCCCCCAAAAAAAACAAACAAACAAACAAAAACTAAAACTGAATTTTCTTTCTACTGAGCTGTTCACTGAATATATTTTTATTCTTTAGATTAATATGAATACTGATACATGTTCAATTTAAAATGGTCAATTTATACTAAACATGAAGCACTTTTAGAAAGGAAGGTCTAAGGTTTTCTAAAGACCTATCGCAAAAATACACCTTATTTTCTACTCTTTTCTAAACTGTGCAAAGAATGTTTCAATATGCAATCTTGTACTATTTTTCACTAATATATAGTGAACGTTCTGCATATTATCGCCACAGGCAATACTAGTATTTTTATATACCGTTGGAGGGACAATCTACAGAACTTAACAAAAAGGGAAATACATGTATCATCATATTCGTATTTAATGAATACTATTTCCAGCTTGAAAATCGAGTTTGATTTAGCAAATGTGAACAAGATGGCATGAACTGCTAATGAGTTTGTATCATTTAATCATTGAATCATATAATAAAACAATTATTGCTATTTTTCAGTCAATACAATGATTTAGCCATCTTCGAAGTACAATTTAACACAACAGCATTAGCCCTTGAGTAATTTTAAAACTCTCCATACCTAATTCATCCCCAATTAAAAAAAAACGTGGCACCTATTTTTTTTTTTTAATATCGGTTTTCAGTAATTGCAACCCTTTCTCATTTATTTTTCGTTAAATTTTTGAGGTCCTACGACTGTCAAAACAATGAAATGAAATTTGGTAATCTTTCTCTATGAAATGAATTAAATAACTGAAAAGGAAGAAGTAACCCTTTTCACTATAGTTTATAAGTTGAACCGACTGAATTTCTTTACAAAATATACCGGTATACATTATTTTCAACCAAAATGAAAAAAAGGTGAAAATAACAAACAGTGATGATCTAAAAATTCTCAAAAACAATACAAATTGTGAACAGAACATATAAACGGACCCCTGGAAAACTCCAAAGATTGAAACATATGCCTAAGTGGAGTAAGCATCCCCTGCCGATCGGTTACACCCGCCTTGAGCTAAATATAATGATCAAGTAGACGGATGAATTTAGAATAAGGCAATGGTTTTACAATGGGTATGAAAAAATGTAAGCAGTAATATAACCCAATTACAGATTGTATTTGCAAATTGTGACATTATTACGCTCAT